GTGCACCGCCGTAGCCAGCGCCGCTACCCTACTTTCCCGCGCCGCACCCGACTTACTCACATTGTGATAAAGTAACAGCAGTATTATTTTTTTATTCATAAATTTACAACCTGATGAAGTGACAAGGCTGACGTCTAATCTAGAGATGAGAATCGAGAAATAAAAGCTATTTTTGTGGGTGTGGGTTTTTGATTCTCATAATTGAGTTCGTTTAGCAGAAGGTATTATTAGTTTTTTTTTTAATTTTAAATAATAATTTTCTTTTTTCAGGTCATCATTTCTGCGTTTGAGTCAAAAAAGGCGTAACGCAATACAATCCATTAATAAAGTAAAAAATGTCATGAGTAATAAACATTTATTAAAATTATTTTTGTTTTATTTTTAACTCTATGTAATCAATATATGTTGTCAAAATAATAAAAAAAATTGAAATCAATTTTTTTGTTTTTATTCCTTTTACAATCTATTTAAGTTACTTTTCCATGAGTCTTATACGTTAGGTTCTCCTACAACCCATTTTGTAAGCGCTGTAGAAAAAAGAAAAGTAAGAATCATAAACCAATTTTAGGAAAATGTTTCATGTAAGCTTTTAAAACAATTAAGAAATTCTCATAATACGGTAGAGCGAGTAAGATAATTAACTTGATTTATATTCGCTAATCATGTACTGATTTTTTTAGTAAACTAATAACCTCTTATGCTCTTTGGATAGTTTTGATTCTTCACTATACTTTTCTCCTGTTTTACTCTGTGTCAGCTTGTCTTTGGTCTTATAATTGCAAATGGCGGTCGCGTAACGGATGATAGTTTGCCGTCAAAATGTATACGCGATATCTTAATAAGTTCAAAAGTTTTTAAAGTGGCGACTCTAAAACAACAAATAATGTGTAATGAGGTAGGTAAATTACCTTAATGTGAGTTCTTTCCAACATTACGTAACAATTTTTGTTTTTGTTAATCGCTCTCGAGGCTATCCGCTGTCTCGCTCGTTTGTTATGATTCCCCTGTCATTATTTACATCGGCGAAGTA